CGGCCTACGAGAGGCCTATCCGCTGCAAGAAAATATCTTCACATCCACCTCTCCCGCCCTCCACGACTTCCACCTCGGCTGCCTACCTACCTACTCCAGCCACCTCTCTCTCTACCTCTCTTCATCCTCGGCACCTTGGAGAAGATACATACGCCACGCATCATAGCATCGGGCACAAAGCAAAAGAATTGAACATACGGCACGGTCGTAACGCAGTGGGCATACATATACACAGCAACTGTCCACGCCCTTCAACTACCTACACACGATTCCCCCACGTACTCTGAATCACCACGCCGTTCCAGGTCTCACCCCCTGCGCAACTACTACAATGTCTCGCAACATTCGCATCAAGTCCACTGCGGCTTCTCGCAAGGCTACGAAGCGTCGCGACTCCATCACGTCCTCCTCGTCCTTTGACTTGTCTGATGATGGAGGCTACTCTGCAGTCGAAGACATCAGCGATTCTTCCGACGATGACGAGGAGGATGTCGATGCGGCCGAGGAGGAGCATATTCTACACGAGGTGCTGCCGTCCTCCAATATCCCGAGCCCCCCTCGGCCGCCCGTTGTCCAAGAGGACGATGACGATGAGGAAGAAGAAGAAGAAGAAGAAGAAGACGATCAGGAGCAGGACGAAGATGAGGAAGACGGCGCTGCCGATGTTGAGGACAGCGCCAGTTGGGACGGCATCATGTCCGAGATTGATGAAAGTGCGGCTTCTGACCACCATCAACGGTCAGTCGAACGGCACGTTCGCTTTGATGTCCCCTCGAGTGATTCAGACTCCACCGACACTGAAGACGACCATGCCGACTTCTTTCCCGACATATTTGTTGACCAAAGCTCTCTCGACCCGGCCTTCCGCCGCGAGATCGAAAATGATGATGACAATGACGAGTCTGAAAACTCAAACTCGTTCTGGGACTACCACGGCGACTACCATGGAGCCTATGGATACGCCCCTGACGCCGAATCAGATATTGAGGCCGTAGTTCAGGAGCTCGGCGACGATGACACGCCCATCGCCACACCCATGACAGCGGGCGAAATATCAGAAATACCCACTCCGGTCGCGGCTTTTGAGGAAACCCAAGAGCTAGACGGCTATGAGAGTGAGTTTGTGCTTTGTGACGAGGACTGAAGAACTTGTGGTTGCTGACACCTCCCAATTAGCTGATGGTGATACAACTGAAGAAGATGAACCGGAACCCGTTGTCCGCCGCAAGATTAAGCGCCCTGAACCGCCCACTGACCAGTGGGACGATTCTGACACTGACCTCCCTGTCAAGGGCGAAAGAGGTCGGCCGCGTGTTGGCCGCTTCAACCTAGACAACTCTGAGCGAAAGCCCATTGCTGTCGTCAACCCCATATCCCGCAAGATGATGATATTCACCCCACACCGTCGCCGCCAGCTCGATCTGTCACCCGAACAGTTCAACTTCCAGTACCTGCCTCCCATTGACGAGAACCATAACTCCCCCATGCTCAGTAGCTCTGCCCAAATCATGATGAGCGCCATGTTCTCGTCCAACACGTTTGGTGACTACCTCAACACCCAAGCCATGGGGCCTGCGGAAGCCTTTTTCCCCTTCCCCTCAGAACCCAATACTGCCGATGAGAGCTCAGAGGTGGGCTTTGACGAGGAGGATGGGGACGACGAGGTCGAGAAGAGCCTCAACATCAGCGACTTCATCGAGTTCGACGAAAACCATTCATCCGGCGAGGAGGACGAGGAAAACCAGTGGGATGGCGACCCCCTGGGTTCCACCCCTGTCCGTCCACGTACCGCCTCGAGCGACGTGGACCTGCATTCTCATATCAACGCCAACAACGTGGGGGCTTTCCGTCGCGACCAGATCAACCAGCGACTCATTCTGAGCGATAAAGCCACACAGGACTCTCTCGCTCTTAGCAGTCCTTACAACTACACTGCCCTCCGTGGCCTGAAGTCGGACCGCTTCGAGACAGCAGCCGTCCCGCTGACGCCCCTCCGGCGGTCGAAGAAGCAGATGCGCGACCTCGCCCGCAGCCCCCTCGAGACCATGTCCCAGAAACGCAAAGCACCCAGCGAGATGCCCCTTGGCCATAAGCGCCAACGCAGCATCTCGGACGTCAACTTGCTGCGTCTCTAATGCAATGCAGCGGTGTTCAGTCTTTTTGTTTATCCGATATGTCTGACATAAAACGTTTGAGGATGGCGTGACAATGCTGCCCTCACTGCAAAAGGGCGCTTGTCATCCCTGGCCTCATATCTGGCTCTGGCTGGCCTTTTTTTTTGGTTTTCTTATGTTACACGCGTTCTTACTCGGGCCCGTCAAATCGACGGGAATGACGGTAGACAAAAGCACAAAAGCTACGCATACTTTTTGGCCAATGTCAGTGTCAAGAGGAGGATAGCCCGGCGAACGGCGTCAGCCCCGTGTGGTCAACTGATCTTACAAATGTTAGAGGAGTTGCCCTCAGGCACCAAGATGACTTGAGGTATTCGACAATCTTGTCTCCTAGTTTCGTATCAATGAAAAGCATGAAATTCAAATGATTACTTTTCATCGTGCTGATTATGCCGCTTGTATCCCTGATACTCGTGACCTGCCAGGATGCTGATTGATCAACAACTTGTGGGAGAAGTTGCGTTGATATGGCGCTCGCCTAAGTCGCCTTGACAGATGAAGGCCGAAATGGCCATGTATTGCTACTACGTTCGGGAATCCTAAGCATGTACAAAGGGATGTTCATATGCCACTTCCAAAACTGGTGGAATGTGTAGTCGTCCCGTGATTACTCCGACTTTGTCCGCCCCTGCTGCCTCTCTCTGGCTGCTCCCTTCATGCAGCCGGAGTCTCTTGGAAGCAACACTCAGCTGTAAGTGGCAATAGCGTTATCGAACGCCGTCTCAATCCTGCCCACCAATGTCCCTGCGGCACCCTTGAGCGACTCGGGGACTTTCTCGACGACCGCCGCGCTGAACTTGTCGGTCGCGCTCTTCTCCTGCTTGAGGTTCAGCAGGATGATGGGGCTCAGCAAGAGCTTGTCGAACTTTGGCTTCGCTCCAACGACGTTGCCGAGCGTGGTCTCGACGCCGCCGGCAAGCTCCTGCGTCGACAGCGCGACGGTGATGGCTTCTATGGAGTTCAGCGGCGCCGAATCCTGGGCGATGCCGGTGGCCTCGTTGATCTTGATAAGGAGCTTGGTCGACTGGACGATGATGGGCAGCGTGCCGAAAAGCCCGCCGTTCCACGAGGCGACGGTTTCTCCCAGCTCCGTATTTGCTGCGGCGATCTCGTCCATGGCCGCCACGATGGCGGCGCCGTCGGCAAGGACGGAGACGGCGAAGAGGCCGAGGAGGGAGATGTTCAGGAGCATTGCCGCGGGGCGGGGGCGTCTTTGCAGACAAACGTGGATGAATGTGGACTTCGGTCGGTTTACCGAGCTGCTGATTCGGGACCAGAATGCACAAGTGCTGAGAAACACGGGTTCTTCTCATCAAGGGCAGCTATTCCACTGACACTTTATACTCGAAATTCAACGGCCCCTGAGCATCTCGCATGCCGTCGTCACAGCTCACGGTCACATCAGCTTGCTCGCTACTACGAAGCATCCGCCTATCATAGCATCGTAGTGCTTAGCGAACTTCCATCGAATGCGTTCTTTCCCCGCAAGCCCATCGCCCAGCTGACGTTCGACTACCATATCCAGGCATAGCCGGCGTGTGATCGCGCCGTCGCGATCCCGGGATCCTCAAATCGTCACATGTCCCCGGCCGAAACTCCTACCCAGTTCGCACAAGAGCAACCACGAAGCATAGCAAAGCACATACTCATTGAGAGTTCCCCAGCCTCTTCGAGCCGAGGAGCGCAAGGATATTACCCCGGATTTCTACTGCCGTCCCCGAACTCCCACCCCTGCTCACCCCGCCGATCAGCCCTCAAACCCCTCATGCAGTGTGCCTGGCGATGTGACGACCCCAACGCTATTAGAGGTATGTGGGTGGCAGCTATTGGACCGCACGTCGCACGCCGGCGCTGGCATACGAAGTAGTGTCTCTGTTCGCTCGGACTACAACTTTGGATGCGGGCGAGAAGTGTACCGGCGGTCGTGGTTGGTGGGCGCCGGCGGCCGTTTAGGCTTTTTAAGAATGGGCCAATGGTTCCTCCGAGCTTTGACCTCGTCGGATAAAGATGATCTTCATTCAACCTTGAAGGTTGCGATGGCAGTTCCATCAATTTTTTTATTTTATTTTTTGGTGTCTGCAATAGCCGTGTTGTACTGTGTGCCCGAGTCTTGGGATACTCTTTCCCAGAAGTCTTGTGGAGGCAGACGAAAGAACAATGACATCATGTTATGAATGAAGGTTGGTGGCAGGCCTCTGGCTATGTTGTTGGCGTGTTTCTGTTATTATGGTTACTTCTCGCAGCGACAGAGCAACCCACCATGTGTAGGACAACGCGTGCTATTCACCGAGCTATTCCCTAGAACCCTTTTCACGAGATCGGGAGAGTGGCTGAACGAAACAGGACATATTGACGAATTGCAAAGTCAGTCTCGATCTACTAGACCCTAAATCAACTCGATGGAAAGGGCCAACCAACATCACCAGATGAGATAGCAGAGCTCTGTAGACTGCCTTAGAAAGCAGGGACTAAGATAACACTACGTTTCAGGGCTCCTATAATAACTGGGCTGGCAGCTGACAGACTTAGTTATAAAGAGTAATACAGTCTTTTACACTATAAAAAATGTTTTTTTAACCTCTCTATTAGGCTGAGATTGTTGTTTACGCAGGCTCATTATAAAGCAGGTATTAGTCACTTTATTAAGTTTTATAAGTATAAGGGAGTAATTAATATATAACAGCTAAATGTGTTATTTATTCTATACCACTGGTATTTGTTTAATAGACGCCGCAGTTAGATGTTACAGAGGACAATGTGCTGTCACAACTCGCGCGCATATGCACACGCACACACACAGTGGCTAAAAAAGTACAAAAGATACCGCGACCGAGCTGGGACTCGAACCCAGAACCTCCACCACCGGAAAGTGAAGCGCTGCCATTGCGCCACCCGGCCGTAGCTATTGGACAGCTTGTGCTGTCGTTGCAACCTTGGTCGAACAATTCTCCTAAGGCTGTTTGGTGGTGAGGTGGTTGGAGGGGCGCCGGCGGCAGGGCCGGATCAAGTCACGGAAGGCGGAGGGGCATAAGGGTTTAGTTTTGCAAAGAACATAGGAAGTCGGGGAAGTAGGGGAAGGCAGGTCGAGTGATGCTTGCAATCGGCCCCTAACTACGCCTATTGTTGCTTCCTTACTGTATACAACTGTAGGCTCTAATAAATAGGTACTCCTAACAAGACAATCTAGGTATGCAAGCGACTCGATCTGTCAATGCTTTCAACTTGCTGACGTTGGCTTATGTATGGTTTTTATCTCAAAAGTGACTACATACACACTTGGACAGTATGGTAATAGTACGGAGTGTATCAATGAGAGACACAAATCAGGAGCGGCAATCGGAAATGTACAAATGCATGGTTCATTTGACACATGCAACTGTACTGGCACGTGGCCAACTGTAGTCCCGGCATTCTGGGCCCTTGGGTATCTATATATACTGACGCCGTCGTCCTCGATCATCGCCAAGTCGGAAGACGATGATGCGCCCATCTATGATCATTCGTCATCGTCGTTCAATCCAAAGTCATCGTCGTCCTCATCCTCTTCTCCCATCCCCTGATCATCTTCGTCGTACATGTGGGACTCGTCACCCATGTCGTCGTAGTCGTCTCCACCGCCAAACTCATCATCCTGATGCTCGTATTCTTCACCCTCAAGAGGTTCAATTTCCTCCTCCTCTTCCTCATGTATGGTCTCATCAATCACACTGGGCGCTTTGCTGGTCGGGCGGCTGGCCGCTTCGCTCTCCGGTCGAGATCCTGGGTCACCCTTGTCCGGCACGTCAAACATCTGTCTGATGGCGTCGTAATTGATGCGTTTGGAGAAGCCTCTCTCCTTCATGACGTTGACTGCTGCCTCGCCGGGTGTGCTAGCAGGAGTCGTCTGACCCTCGCCAATGCGAGGTCGCTTCTTCCGCTTGCGGTCCTTTTTGGGTTTCTTTTCTTCGAGCTTCTTTCTGAACAGGCGTTCTTGAGACTGGCGCAGCCAGTCCTTGTTCTCGTTGACCCACAGCAACTCCTTGATCTTGATCTCCTCGGGTGTCAACATGCAGTTCAACACCTCGGGATCATCGGCAAACTCGTCTTCGCCGACCTCGGGTGCCATTGATACAGCCTTGTTGGGCTGCTGCTGAAGTGCCCAGATGGAGTGGATGCGCGCACGCTGCTCAGCATTACTGAAAGCCTTGGCATGTTCGTACGTCTCCGGGTCGTTCATGATCTCCGAGATCTGCTCCTCCATTTGGGCCTCATCCTCCTCCCACTCGTTGTCAATGGGCAAGGAAGGCTTGGGTTGCCGTCCATTCTTGTTGCTGGCATCCTTCCGTGACGCTTCTTCACTCAGTTTTTCTGCGTCGCCAAACTCTTCGGCCAGACCTTCCAGATGCTGAGTGCTGTTCGTGTCTCGCAGAGCTGGCTCGTCCTGAGCAATCTGAGAAGGGAGCGGGGGGATAATGAAGCCGTCCTGGTCTCGGCGGTATTCAACGGCGGGGGCCGTAGATAAGTCGGGAGGGGGGAGTGAAGGTGCCGGTGTTGTTCTGGTGTTTCCGCCTTCATCTGTGAGCTTGCGCTTGCGTTTCTTGCCCAGTTCCTCCTGCTGCTTCTGCCAAGCCTCTGTGCTTTTGTAAAATGAAGGCGGGTCGTGCGAACTGGAGCTGAAGTCCTGTGAGAGGAAGTCCTCAACCGTCATCTTACTGGCTTCGGTGACATTGAACTCCTGAAGACGTTCTTGTATAGTATGGGTGGTGACCTTGACGACATAGACGACTTCTCTGGTCGTGCGCCGAAAATTGTGCATTCTGGCGGCTATGAGTAAACAAGCCCCGCAGATACCGGATGGGCGACGGCCCATGACAATCCAGTCCTGCTTCATGCGATGGACGAGACGAACAGCATCTTCCGCAACCCTGTTGGTCATGTGCTTAAACTCGAGCTTGGAGGCGAGGCGGAAAAGGATGTCCTCGGGAAATACCGGGGCCTCTCCGTTGCCAAAGATGTACACTACCCTGTTCAGAGCCTTGAAGGCTCGGCCAAGCTTGAAGACATTGATCTGGGTGAGGTCGGCAAGATCGATGAGCATAATCTTGCAAGGTCGCTCGGTGCGGCAAGCAGTGTAAAGGCAGACGGCGGCAACCATGACGAGGGTGCGACCTTGGACAAAATTGGCCTGGGATGCGAGTTTAAAGACCTGAACGGCGGTATTGACAGTGTTGTCGCTTAGGTTGAGCCTCTGGGCATACCCCTGCATTAGGGAGCGAGCCTCGCGGATGGACTTTTCTCGATCGTCGGAGCCACCAACGCGTCGAAAGGCCGGGCCCATTGTCCGCACGCCGGCTTGGTCGGCGGCGATGTAACTTCCCTGGACCATGGCGGCACCCGAAGAGGTCTCCCCAAACTGTACTTCAGCGACAATGTTGCTGTCGTCAGCGACTCTGCCGCAGGTCTGACATACGCCGTCGACGACGTTGGGCTTGACACAGGTTTTGTTCGGGCATTGTGGGCGGTTCGAGACGGCGACCGTCGGGGCTCTGGAGCGGTTCAGCTGTGCTTGGGCGACAGCGCTGGCAGCGGCAGCAGCGGCGTTTGCCTGTTGGCGTTCAGCTTGTTCACGAATGGCTCGAATACGGTTCGGGGGTTGAAACGGCTTCGACTTGCCCGCCGTCGGCTTCTGGGATTTCTTCGTGGGTGTAAGGAAGGACGACATCGTATCCGTGTTGAGAAATGTAACCCGTCGTGGGCAGGGCACCAGGGTCAAAGGTTTTTTCTTCTTCTTTTCTTTTATATTATGGTTGCTTCGCCAAAGAGTTTCCGAAGGGCAGGAAAGGTGTTGCGAATATGAAAACCAGGAAAATGGGCAAGGTTCTGACTGACAAACCCCCTCCCCTTTCTCCGAAACCAGGCAGAAAGCGCAGCCTATCTGCTTGCACCTCGGATGACGGAGGCCAATTGTTCAGGAAACGCAGCCTGTTGCGTGAAATCTTGCGCGTTGGGTGACGCGGGCAGCAGTGAGGACATGGACGAATGGAGTGTAAGTGATTTGAAGACGACCCTGGGCGGGCTGTTGGTGGGATGTCTGGAGAGGGATATGGGTGGCGGGCGGAATGAAGAGAGGAATAAAAAAACTAGTGGGGTCGGCGACGAGATGGTCGAGCGGGAGAAGGTGCGCGTTTGAGGGGGAGGCACCAAGTGGACCATTATAGGTATCAGATGATGCTTAGTCATGCATATGATGGCCTCCTTTGCCAAAAGGGGAATCTCCATGTCTCTTCCAGGCTGCCGAAGCCACCGGTTCGAGTCTCCCTTGGTTCACGCTGCGAAACTATATAATTTCTTAACATCTACCTACTTACAATATAAGAGTTATAAGAAGACGAAAATCCTTGGTTATTTTCTGACTGCTTACTGCCTTAAGGGCCCTTATTGGGATGTAGCTGTTATGTTAATAAATCCCTTCTGCTATGCTGCCGCTGTATTGGAAAGTAGTCAGTGCAAACCAGCCGTTACAGAGGTATCTCCTTTAATATCCCTCTCCCCTACAGCACTGATCTAGCCTCTCGCCCAGTCAAAGCTGCCCTAAGGAGTAATTAACTGCCTGTTCGGAAGCATTGCATGTATACCGCAAAGTGAATACACCAGCCCGGAGGAAGTCCCATGTTTACACATAGCGTCATTGCGGCTTCTATGTGTCTTTGCCCTGCGCATCAGCGCCTTATATAGTATTCTAAGCCGTCAATCTCCCACCGAGGCCTTTCACTGTTGCAAGTCAGATTGTGCAAATCAACATGGTGCATGCTACTAGTAAAGCGACAAATTACAAAGTGTCTTTCCCCCCCCCCCTCTTTCTCTTTTGTCATGCCCGGATTTCCGGCCCATTAAACCGCCTCAAGTGCTACAGTCGGATGGACCCTGCATGTTTCCTTGGTCTACTACTAGCAACTAACACATTGTGGTGTTCTTCGAGTGCGGGGCAGCCAGCCTTGACTTAGCTCACACCTACTGCATACTGCATACATGGTGGTTCTGACAAGTAGCCACGCAATTGCCTGTGGTTTAGTCGGCCTATTTAAACCTGGACATCCGCATTTTGAATCTCGTACTGCCAAGGTAACGGAACACGAATTCGACCTCGCACTCGTACTTCGTTTTTCGCCATCTATAGGCCGCTGCTATCTCGTCTATCATGTCTTTCGACAACTTCACCCTTTCTGCCCCTCCCGACACAGACGTTTGGAAGAAACCCCCTTCTCATAATGTCTACAGTGGTAAGATTGACCCAACGATAGTTCCAGAAACACATAGTTGATGACGGCCCCAGCCCCCACCAAGGCCGTCCCAACCAAGTCACTCAGCCAATTCAGATCCGCCAAGATCACCTTCTCCGCAGACTGGTCGGAGCAATATGACCAAGCGGGCTTGATCCTCACGTTCGACTCTCTCTCTGGTCGTGAGCGAAGATGGATCAAGACTGGCCTGGAGTACTACAACGGCACCCCGCAGCTCAGCACCGTATCCTGCCATACCTGGGCTGACTGGAGCATTGCCCCGCTCGCCGCCTTCGGAGATACAAAGTCCGTCACCGTCCTCGTCGAGAAGGCTCAGGACAACCTCGGCCTGAGCCTCTGGGTATACTATGTGAACCTGGACGGCACAAAGGAGCCGCTGCGTGAGGTTTGCTGGGTTTACGGAGACGACGATGCGTCAGGCAAGGACTGGAACTTGACGGTTGGTGCTCTGGTAGCCCGGCCGTCCAAGGATGCAAAGAGCGACCTCGAAGTCCATTTCAAGGATTTCGACGTGCAATGGCAGTAGGATATACTTTATTGATATTGTCGAGCTGTCGCTACGTTGCGGTAGCAATTCCTCCAACGCGTCCAAGTCTCAATCTGTATCTCAATCAACTC